GAGAGAGAAAAGAGAGAGAGAGAGAAGAGAGAGAGAAGAGAGAGAGAGAAAAGAGAGAGAGAGAGAGAGAGATTTGACAGGGTTTTTTTCTTCAGGATCCAATCTGGGTCAGTCACTGGCACCAGAGATTTAGTCTTCTGAGCTTTCGGGCTCCTGCTGGAGCTCCTCCTCAGAACCGGTGAGAAAGAAGCTCCCTGAGAATAGGGTCCAGCACAAGCCCAAAAACTCAGAAGACAACCTCTAGTTCCAGTGACCCACCCAGATTGGATCCGTCAACATTGTCCTGGGACATATATCTTTGCCTCCGTGCGTGTTTTTCCCCCTCTAAGATTTCCACCTCCTTTTATCCCACGCAGCTGGTTCTCTTACCCCATGTGACAGAACTTCCTGGTTTCCATGGTGACCACCCAGCTTCCGTGGAGCGCCGGGAGGCCCTGGAACACTACACTTGCCTGGAATTGTTTCGCATGGCCACCATGCCTGACTTGCCTGAGACCTGTGCCCGCCTGCTCTGCAGCATTTCTGCCCTGATCCATGATGGGGGTCTGTGTAAGTGAAAGGATGCCCCCCTCCAGCTGGGAGAGGGCCGGTGTCTCATTCCCCAAGGGTGTTGAATTCCAGGAAACATCAGCCCAAACTTATATGGACCGATGGGTGGGAATTCCAGCGAGGCAAACAGCTTTGATCTTCTCGAATCTGGTACTATAATGCTATGGGCAAGGGTAGGGCCCAGTGTCTGAAAAATTAAATGGGGACAAACGTAGCAAAATATTTCCTATAAATCAGCAAGTTTTGGACTGAAGGATGGAAGTTTCCTCAGGGTGAGCTCGATCTTTACGTAAGAATACAGAATAACAGAGTTAGAAGGGGCCTTGTAGGTCATCTAGTCCAACCCCCTGCTCAAGCAGGAGACCTTATACCAGGGGTGTCAAACTCACGTCGTCACAGCAGAATCAAGTGACATATCGAGACTTTTTTTCCCTTCGCTAAATTGGGCTTGGGTGTGGCCAGCATGTGACGCATCCGGCCCATGGGCCAGGAGTTTCACAGCCCTGCCTTCTATCATTTCTGACAAGTGGCTATCCAGTCTCTTCTTGACAGTTGATGGCGCTCCCACAACTTCCAAGGGCAAGCTGTTCCACTGGTTGATTGTTCTCACTGTCAGAAAGTTTCTCCTTATTTCCAGGTTAAATCTCTCCTTGTTCAGATTCCATCCATTATTCCTTGTCTGGTCTTCAGGTGCTTTGGAAAATAGCTTGACCCCTTCGTCTCTTTGACAGCCCCTCAAATATTGGAAGACTGCTATCCTGTCTCCCCTGGTCCTTCTCTTCACTAGACTAGCCATGCCCAGTTCCTGTAACCGTTTTTCTTATGTTTTAGTCTCCAGTCCCCTAATCATCCTGGTTGCTCTTCTCTGCACTCTTTCTAGAGTCTCAACATCTTTTGTGTGGTGACCAAAACACCTAAGGAGGCATCACAAGAGAAGTATAAGAAAGGGAATTTTTCTATGGATGATTGTTTCTGAATTCTGCGAAAACTTTATTTCCAGACCTGTGGCTGAAATATCTTAAAATCTACAATCATCAAGTCTAGAAACCTTTAAAATTTTCAAGCTAATAAAGCAAATGCTTGATAATATCAGGAATGTGATTTCCTGATTACTGCTGAAAATCATGTCTTGATTCCTTGATTATTTTATTATCTCCATTAACATTTTGGAGTTCTGTTGCAGAAACTACTGCATAGCATAAGCAGGCATGTCCCTAATATTGCTTGCCTTTTGAGTCAGCTCTAGAGGGAGGAGTTTTATTCAGTGTTCCAGGGAGGCATTCTCTCACATCCCTCATCTTGTGACCCCAAAATCCAAGATCAGTCCAATCTTACTTGATTGCAGGATGCCTTTTATGTTCTACCTAGAACCCTAATTCTTGCATTGTTGTATTTTTCTTCTCCTAAGCCTGTCAATGTGACCTCCAGGGTTCCACCAGCAGCGTCTGCCATAAACTGGGAGGACAGTGCCAGTGTAAGCCCAATGTTATGGGTCGGCAATGTGACCAGTGTATCCCAGGCACTTACGGATTTGGACCTTATGGCTGCAGCTGTGAGTACCTAAGGCTGGACCTGCCTCATTTTTATCTTTTTTCAAAATGTATGCCTGACAGGAAACATACGAGCACAGTAACAACCAGCATTCTAAGTCAGAGACACAACCAGAAACACCTGGTTGAAAACAGGATACTTTTTTATAGTGTGGCACAAATGATGTTAGCTTCGATATAGTTTAGATCGGGGGTGTCAAACTTGATTTCACATAAACCAAGGACTGCCTGTATTGACACAAATTACGTCCATCCCGGCAATTCCATTCTCATTGAATAAGGATGAGCTTTCCTGACCCACCATCAGAATAAGGTCCCTGTAAGCAGTGGACTTTTCCCCTTCAACCGAAAAGAATGAACTTCTGAAAGCTAGATACTTCAAAAGGAATTCTTTATTGAAAGGAAGTGAGACCAGTACTAGTCAAAGCAGAATCTAAGATGCTTCCAGGTATACAGTAATAGATAAAGGGAGTTAGAACCCCTCCCCTTATTCTGATGTGGATTTAGTCAGACCAAGAACCAACATGTTAATTCCCCACCCCCCTTTTTTCTGGGAATGTATCTTAGAAGAGTTTCCCAGGGAGTACTTTTCAGAGCTGGAATTTTTATGGTCCCTTCTCCTCTTGCTATCTCTCCAAGAGGTGACAAGTTTCTAGACATCTGGCTCCAGTCCTCCAGTTGTATATCATGTGCAAGTTATACAGAATCAATATAAGATTTAAGATATTCAGGTTACATCAAAAAGGATTACTTGTACCAATTCCCCCCCCCCCCCCCCACTTCTTCTTCCATTGAAGAATAGCAGATACCACGGATCTGACAGTCTCCATGTTTGTCGATCCCCCAGTTCAGCTGATCACTTTTGAGTGCATTTTTCTAGTTGGATACTATAGAAATGATCCCTGAAAGTTCTACGATGACTCTTGTTTTCACAGCCTGTGCTTGTTCCCCTGAGGGTTCGACCTCCAAAATCTGCAACCCAGTAAGTGGGCAATGCCGATGCCAGCAGGGTATCACGGGACGCCAGTGTGATCAGTGTCCACTAGACCAGTGGGGATTCCCTCACTGCCGTCCTTGTCACTGTAACGGGCATGCAGAGAAATGTGATTCACACACCGGAGCCTGTCAACAATGCCGAGATTATACAGCAGGCCGCCATTGTGAAAGGTGAGCATGGCAGACGAATGGAAAGTTAGAGTAAGGCCCCACTTCATTAAGCCATAGGAGAAATGTTGTGCTGAGAACGATTAAGCATTTCTAACAAATAAAATGATTTGAGTGATGTATCTATTTATGCTGGGCAGGATTATGATCGAAGATACAAGAGGTATTTTTTCCCCCATCTTGTTCCTTGAGGCAATCTAGAGGAGTCTTTCATTTATTCTCCCCTAAGAATGGTGTTATTCTTACTTCATAGATATCAATCTTCAGGGGAAGAGTTGAGCTGAACTTGCAGAGTTATTTTAGGAAGAACCCGTGTGACATCTACAATCCAGCTAGAGTCTACAAGGAGATGATAGATACATTGCATAACTAAATAAACAATTGATGGCATAAGAAGTTTAACAGAAAGTAGGTTACCTATGAGTTTGAGGGGGGAAACGTTAAAAAGGAATATGTTGGGAGGTGCTGTAGAGTGCAATATTAATTTGTAGAGTCATAGAAATTGTGAATTAAAAGACACTTCTAGGTCATCCAGTCTATCCCCTTACTCAGTGGTGGGACTCATCTCTGGAGGGGATGAGTCTGCCTATCGCGATGAGGTAGACCGGTTGCTTTCGTGGTGTGGAGAGAATAACTTGGTCCTTAATGCCAATAAGACCAAAGAGCTTATAGTGGACTATAGAAGGAACAGATCGGACATCCAGCCCTTGATTATCAATGGAAACCAAGTGGAGCAATTGGCCAGTTTTAAGTTTCTGGATGTTATCCTAAAAGAGGACCTGACCTGGGATGCTCACATTGCAGCACTGGTCAAAAAGGCCCAGCAGAGATTATACTACCTGAGGCTTCTCAGGAAACAACAACTGAATGAAAAACTGCTGGTGACCTTCTACCACTGCACCATAGAGAGTATTTTAACTTACTGCATCTCTGTATGGTTTGCCAAATGCACAGTGGCAGATAGGAAAGCACTCCAGAGGGTTAACGTCATTGCCCAGAAGGTCATTGGTTGCCCTCTCCCCTCTTTGGAAGAGTTTTATAGCTCCCGCTGCCTTAAGAAAGTTCAAAACATTCTCAAAGATCCATCTCATCCTGGGAACCCTTTTTTCTGAACTATTACCATCTGGCAGACGGTACAGGAGAATAAAAACAAGGACAAATAGGATGAAAAACAGCTTCTATCCCAAGGCAATAACTATATTGAATACTACTGTATAGTGCAATATTAATGCCATATCAGGTTTTCAATTCAATTGTATAGAATGTGAAGGATGTGTGTTTGTGTTTAATTTTTATAGTTATAATGTACACTGAAGATGGCGTTTAATTTTGTTGTATGAGGTGCAATGACAATAAAGTAAAGTAAACTAAACTCAGGCCTGAAATCCAGTAATTAATATCCATCAAGTAGCAATAGAGAACCTATTTCAGACCTATAGTAATTGGGAGTCTACCCTTATTCTAGGGAAGACAGCTCTTCATCATCAGGAAATTCCTTGCATTATTCAGCCCAAATTTCAATCCATCTCTTTGGTCCTTTTCTTGTCCTTGTTTTTCAAAAGAGAAGAAGTTCAGAGTTCTTTTGATATAGGTAAACTGTTGTCATACAACCCATCGACTCATGACCATAATTCGGTCCAAAATTTCTGTTGTTAAGTGAGACATTTCTTAAGTGAGTTTTGCCCCATTTTACAAACTTCTTTGCTTCTGTTGTTAAGTGAATCTCTGCAGTTGATAAGTTAGTAATAAGTTTGTTAAGTGAATCTGGCTTCCCCATTGACTTTGCTTGTCAGAAGATTGCAAAAGGGGATATGGTCATAAGTATGACCCAGTTGCCAAGCATCTGAATCTTGATCGTATGATCATGGGGATGCCACAAAGATTGTAACTGTGAAAAATATCACTTTTTCACCATTCACCTTTTCACCATTCACTTTTTCACATAAGTCACTTTTTTCAGCGCCGTTGTAACTTTGGATGGTCACTAAATGAACCATTGTAAGTCGAGGACTACCTATATTTTGTGAGACCTTCTCCTTCATTGGAACTTATAATGTTGGTAGTGCTCCACAGAATCTTCTGCAGCAAGGTTTTATATACCATGGATCATATGAGTGCCCATTCTGGACCGTACTAATTTGTGAAAAATAATCTTGGAAAAATTCGCGATCCTTTCAGATGCCTGCCATTGCTTGGACTTCTGCTTCCCTCGCAGGTGCCTGGATGGATACTATGGAGACCCAGTCCTGGGATCAGGGCAACAGTGTCGGCCGTGTCCTTGTCCCGGATATCCAGGTTCTCGCCAATATCACGGCATTTCGTGCCAGGCTGACAGAGGCACAAACCAGATAGTTTGCTTGTGTGCTCCTGGCTACACAGGTAAGGTATACAGATAATTTTTACTTAACGACCAGTTGCTAATTTCACAGAGCTACTTCATTCATTCATTCATTCATTCATTCATTCATTCATTCATTCATTCATTTATTTTATTAGATCTATATTGCCTCCTATTCGCCATGGCGACTCAAGGCTGCTTACAACATATAAAACCACAATTTTAAACAATAAAACTTGTAAAATCAAATAAATTAATATAGTAACATCACACACACCCTCCTCCCGCTGCCCCAGCGACAGCGGATCACATGAGCCATTTAACAGGCTCCATCCCGCTCTGGGTTCCCCAGGCCTGCCAGAGGAACCAGGTCTTCTTCAATGCCTTTCGGAAGAGTGTTAGAGAGGGGGGGGCATTCTAATCTCTGTGGGGGGGATGATGTTCCAGAGAGAGGGAGCCATCATGGAGAAGGCCCTTCTTCTGGGTCTCACCAGGTGTATCTTCCTCAGGGATGGGACCCGCAACATTCCCTGCCTCCCCGTTCTGATGGGTCAGGTAGATGTCACTGGCAAGAGATGGTTCCCTCAGATAGCCTGGTCCCAAGCCATGAAAGGCTTTAAAGGTGACAACCTTGAATTGCACCCGGAACTTTCTTACAAGAACTTTCAAAGTTCCAACAGTTCCAACAGTCATGCGACCCCATTTCATAACTGGCTTGTGTTTATGGCCACTTGTGATGTCCCAGGCTTTTTCTTTTTTGCCATCTTGGGCATTTATTTCTGGCTTCTGGCACACACACAAAAAAAGCTCATTGGAGAACAGGGTTTTGTTTAACAACGATGGTATTCGCTTAACCATCATTGCAAAGAAAGGTCATAAAATCAGGTGCCTAACAGCTACCATGACTTGTATCTGTAATTACAGGCTCAATTACGGTTGTAAGTTGAGGACTACCTGTACCCTGGGGCAAGGAAGGTGTATGATGGCCGCAATAATTTAAGTTTCAGAATTCAGTGATGCTCCATCCTTTGCAAGCTCACTTTCTCCAGTATCCCTCTGAAGTATTATCGGACTCTTGCCACAGTTATGCTAAGTTGACCTGCCCATCATGTGACTCAGCAAAAGAATACAGTCAGCAAATACATGAGACCTCCTATGTCTTTTGCAGACCAATGCAGGGAGCAGAAACAGTAGCCCCATGGAGATACTTGTGCCGCCTTAAGGCTTGCAAGCCAATCCCTGGATTTATTTTCTGCTAATTTTCCCTCCTTCCCATGCACATACAGATGTACAGTACATATCCAACTGGGACAGTGAATTTAATTATTAGCAATAGCAGACTTATATACCGCTTACAGTGCTTTTTACAGCCCCCTCAAGTGGTTTTTACCGAGTCAGCCTCTTGCCCCCAACAATCTGGGTCCTCGTTTTACCCACCTCGGAAGGATGGATGTTGACCTTGAACCTGGTGAGATGTGAATTGCAGGCAGCCGGCAGGCAGCAGAAGTAGCTGGCAGTACTGCATTCTAACCACTGTGCTACCATGGCTCATTAGTACAATATTAGTACAATACTTTTTCTGCCTTTGGATACCAGAATTCCTATGAATCCAAATTTCCTCCACCAACTTCAACCCAACCCCTCCTCCCAATTTCTCTGAAATTCATTAATATTGGCTGATTGTGAAGTAGCAGAGGAAGAGGAAGGAGAAAGTTCCATTTAAAAAATAAAAATAAAATCTCATGGATAACTTGCTCTTTTTCCGGCAGGGCCACGATGTGATCGCTGTTCCCCTGGCTATTTTGGAACCCCTGGGCAGGAAGGGGGTGCATGCCGCCCTTGTCAGTGTAACAATAACATTGATCCCAGTGACCCCGAGGCCTGTGACCCACATACTGGTCAGTGTCTACATTGCCTTTACAACACCGGTGGACCCCACTGTGCTGAATGTCAGCCTGGCTACTATGGCAATGCCTTTCAACGGAGCTGCCGACGTGAGTGAGATAGCAATAAGCAATAGCACCGAGACTTATATAGTGCTTCATAGTGCTTTACAGCCCCCTCTAAGCGGTTTACAGAATCAGCCTATTGCCCCCAACAATCTGGGTCCTCATTTTACCCACTTTGGAAGGATGGGAGGCTGAGTCAACCTTGAGCCAGTCTGCAGGGTTGTCTTAACGCATGGCCCTGATGAGCACTTGCTGGTGGGCCCCACGAGCATAGGGCCCCCATACTAATCTGTGTATATTAACCCTTCAGTGCACCTTGTATCATATAAACGCAGCAACATATTTATCACATTTTACTGCATTTTTAAAAAATTAATACCGTGTTTCTCACAAAATAAGGCCGGGCCTTATTTTTTTTTGACCCCCGAAAAAACGCTAGGCCATCTTTTCAAGGGTGACTTAATTTCCTCCCCCACCTAGAGTGGCCCATACGCACGTACTTCACTGCGAGGCCGCTTCTATCAGCCGATGAAAGCTCCCTGAAGGCAGAGTCCCCAGCCGCTTCAGGGAGGGCATGGCTGCCCATGTCCCCTCACCTTTAGGCAGTCTCTTTCGGGTGATGGAAGCTCCCCAAGTGCAGTCAACAGCCACTTCGATTGGCTGATAGAAGCGGCCTCGCGGCGAGGGGAGTGTGCGTGTGTGCTCGCCCCGAGGCCACTTCTACCGGCCGATCGAAGTGGCTGGTGACTGCACTTGAGGAGCTTCCATTGCCCGAAAGAGACTGCCTAAAGGCAAGGGGACACGGGCAGCCACGCCACTCCCTGAAGCAGCTGGGGAATCTGCCTTCGGGGAACTTCTATCGGCTATTGGGGTATTCTAGCCTCGGCTACCTGCAGGACACTCCTAAAGGCAAGTTTTCTCCCCATCCCCCCCACCCTTCCCCTCCCATTTCTCTTCACTTCGTGTAGTTCTAACGAACGATGTGAGAAATGGTGGGGAAATGCATGGTTTAAATAGGCCTAAATTTTGGGGCCGGGGCTTAATTTCACCTCATGCCTAGAAATCATGCTGGGCCTTCCTATTGGTGGAGGCCTTATTGTTGGAGAAACATGGTACTAACATGCAAATATATGTTTAATTTTTATACAACCAGCTACATTTTTATTCCTATGAGTAGTTGTCATAGGGGCCCCAGTATATTGCTTCGCCTGTGGCCCATAATTTATTTATTTATTTATTTATTTATTTAATTTATATTGCCGCCTATTTGCCCATGGCGACTCGAGGCGGCTTACACAGTGTAAAACCATATTTAAAAAACAATAAAAACTAACAAAAAGAATGAAATAAATTAACAAAGTACAATAGAACAAAATTTGGAAGAAAAAAAGCGGCCCAACTCCCACCGCCACCCCAACGACAGGAGATCACACCAGCCATTTGATGGGCTCCATCCTTCTCTGGGTTCCCCAGGCCCGCTGTCAAAACCAGGTCTTCAGTGCCTTTTGGAAGAGTGCTAGAGTGGGGGGTCATTCTAATCTCTGGGGGAATGATATTCCAGAGAGAGGGAGCCACCACAGAGAAGGCCTTTCTTCTGGATCCCACCAGCTGTATCTCCCTCAGGGGTGGGACCCCGCAACATTCCCTGCCTCCTCTCTCTAATGGGTTGGGTCATCTTAATGCTCTTAAGACAGCCCTGCCAGTCAGGATTGAACTCCTGGAAGTCGGCAGAAATAGCCTGCAATATCAGTACGACATTCTAAACACTGCTGCACCACCACTTGATTGAGCCAGCTTGAGTGATAGTCAGAAATCCACGGGGAATGAGAAGGGGCTTTTGGGTGGTCTCCTTGAAGTTCTGAGATTGTGATCAGTCTTTATTTAATTTCATTTCTCTCTTTCCTTCCTTTTGGAAGCTCAGGGTGGTGCCTGGGGGAATTATTTCGTCCTCCCAGCAGCTATCTGCTAAAGTAGATTGGGTTGAGAGAATATAGAACAGTGGCCCCCAACCTTTCCAGCTTGGTGGCCCAGCGTGGGAGGGTGGGGTGCTGTGACTGGCAGGCACATGTGTCCTCCACTCGCACGAATGCAGTTTCGTGGGTGAGTGGTGGGCGCTTGCGTGTGAAGTTCCACTCAAATGAGTGGAGGATGCTTGCGCTCGTATGCAAAGCTCCAGTTGTGTGAATGGAGTTTTTGCTCGCGACTGCAAGCGCCCACCTTTGCATACATGCGCTTGCCTGCCACTTGTGTGAGTGGAGCTTCGTAAGTGCACGCTTGCCCATTGCTCGTGCAGCCCAATTTTGAACAGGCCATGGCCTGGTAATGGGCCGTGGCCCAGGAATTGGGGACCCCTGATATAGAACATAGTGTCACGCCCCTGGTAGAGACTGACTCTGAGGGAGAGGAGGAACAGTCGACAAGGAGTGGAAGTGTGGCTCCGGAGGTTGTGGAGGAGGCTGGAGAAGGGCAGAGGCCGGCTGGGCAGTCAGAGGAGGACCCAGGCCCATCACCTCCCCATCCTAGGTCACGCAGGGAGGAGATGATAAGGGAGATATGTGGTCTACTGGGGAGGAGAGGACCTTGATCCTCTTTATGGGCTGCAACTGTAACAACTGGATAAAAGGACGGACATGTGTACGGGCAAGTGCTGGAAACAAAGCATGGAAAATATCTCTAGTTTATTGTTCCTCTCTGAGTTTGGTGTCCTTCCCAGTGTGTGTTCCGATATCTGTGGACGTCTTCAAGTCCTTATCTTGCCTGGTTTGTGTTGTTTTTTTACTCTTTATAATTTAAACGGCATTTCCTCCTTCTTGTAGCTGCTTGTGTGGGAGTTTTTTGTCTCCAGTCAATGATATTTGGAGCTTGGAAGCAAAGCGAAGGAATAAAAGGGGCTTCCCCTGTTTTTTGCGACTGTGTTTATTTTGTATCCCATCCTGGGTCATCACACATAGAATCACAGAGCTGGAAGGGACCTTGGAGGTCTTCTAGTCCAACCCCCTGCTCAAGGCAAGAGGCCTTACACCATCTTGGTCAAATGGTTGTCCAGTCTATGTTTGAATTTATATTCAAAAATCACATTTCGGTCCTCCTGGTTTCAGTCCAACATTTCAGTTCTCATTCACACCAGTAATTTTGTGAACAATCATTGGGACTGGAGCCTACGTATACTGGTATCAGTGGGAGAAAATTTAGAGCCTTCTTGCATGTAGTTTCTGTAACTGAGTCAATGTTGGCCCCTTTTCCCCATGTTTATTCGCATCCCAGATTTTTTTCAACTTCATCCAATATTTTGTACTTTAAACCAATTTTAGCGGGATTCCTAGAAAAAGAAGTAAGCTGGTATAGAAGTAGGGCAGTTAATCGGGGCTCATTTTCTCTGCTCCCAATTTAGCCGTCATGGAATTAATTCCCATCTCCCAACAACCCCAGGAGATTCCAGCGCTTTCCCAACCCTTCAAAAAGCCCTTTTCTCTCCTTCCCCCTAAAATCACACATACAGTCTGTGCATTTGTCCACCTGAATTTTGTTGTTAGTTGCGAAGTCGTGTCCAACCCATCGCGACCCCATGGACAACATTCTTCCAGGCCTTCCTGTCCTCTACCATCTTCTGGAGTCCATTTAAGCTCACGCCGACTGCTTCAGTGACTCCAGCCAGCCACCTCATTCTCTGTCGTCCCCTTCTTCTTCTATTGTCCTCAGTCTTTCCCAGCATTAGGGTCTTCTCCAGCGAGTCCTTCCTTCTCATTAGGTGGCCAAAGTATTTGAGTTTCATCTTCAGCACCTGGCCTTCTAAAGGGTTGATCTCCTCTAGGACTGACCGGCTGGATTGCCTTGCAATCCAAGGGACTCGCAGGAGTCTTCTCCAGCATCTGAATTAGTGCATGTATATTTGCCCGGTCATCTATAAAACATTCCTCCTGAACAGCTAATAGGTTAATCAATCCAGAGAAGCCTCAAAAATCTTCTGAACTGGGATGTGTATATTAACCCCAAAATCTTGGCAGAGCTGTACACTACCAAAATGGTGTTTGAGGGCTTTTCTCAAACTGAATTCAGAGGGGGGGGGGCGGAAATGAGATTTCACTAAAAAAAGACTTGAGTAAAAGATCCTATGTGATTCTTACAACTACACCTGAAGCAAAATCAATATATGCTTATGTATTCTTTCTGAAATTCTTAAACGCTACACACACTGCAATCTCGTGAATCACACTGGAACCCACTGAATTTTTGTTTGTGGATTCCAAAGAAATTCTTGGCAGGAAAAGCTGTAAGCCAGGCAGGCAGGGAGGCTGTGGCTTTACTGATACTAACCCTTACTCATTCTCCCAGGCTGCACATGTAATGAACAGGGCACTTTGCCCACCTACTGCTCCGAAGGCATCTGCCATTGCGATCAAACTACAGGCCATTGCCCCTGCCGTGCCAATGTGGTGGAAAAGAACTGCGACAGATGTGCCCAGAACTTCTGGGGTTTCGGCAGCGACTTGGGCTGCCAGCCATGTAACTGTGATCCAATCCATTCGTTACGCGCAGACTGCAACGTGGTAAGGGACCAAGACCTTGGAAAGTTAACCCCAAATGAGAGGTGCTAAAACAGGCACAGTGACTTTGGGGCTTCTGCTATATCACTGCCCTCATTCTAAATGGCTTTTTTTTATTTTTTTACTCAGTTTACAGGGCAGTGCCACTGCCAGCCAGGTTTTGGAGGTCGTGTTTGTTCTCATTGCCAAGAAAATCACTGGGGCAACCCAGAAGTGCAGTGCTTAGGTAAATATGAGCATCGAATGTAATCAGACACTTTCTACCAACAATACAACGTGCACACACAAAACAGCTTATTGAAAACGCTATCAGATTAAGAGCTGGATGTTTGGGAGGTTGTTCTCATGGGAATGAGTTCAGACTTGTGCCAGATTGTAAACCAGCTTTCCCCGATCTGGCGTATTTCTCCCGCCATCATTCTCATTTGAATCAAAACTCTTAGATTCGAATCAAAGCTAGAAAATGGAAATATGAAAATGAAAATGTGAAATATATCATATAATTGTAGGCTTCTAATGAGAGATTGGAATATATTAGTTTTATGAGATTTCAGGTTTCTTTTTTTTATGCCCTCATATTTTGGTATCTATGCCTGATTTTCTTTATTGTGTTACTTGTTTATATTAAATAAACATTGAGTTTAAATGTCATGTTCGCAATTTTAAAAAAGAATTGAAGCTGCACACTTGGGGAAGATACCAAATTGGTGTCTTGCTGTAACCTCCATCTCCTATCAAACCTATTCTGTAATGTAGTAGTTGACCCAAAAGATGAAAAATAATATTAACAATTATATACAATATATATGTTTATAAGTCCCCTCCCTCCCTTCCTCTCTCCCTTTCTTTCGTTCTTTCGTTCTTTCCAGAGTTTCCTGGTGGTAAGGTAGGTAGACAATAAATTTTATTAATTAAAAAAAAAGAGCAAATAAATGTCGATTTGATTGTGTGACTATGGACTTGCTGCAATGGTTATAAGTACAAGCACCAGTCATAAGTCACTTTTTTCAGCAATGTTGTAACTTCAAACAGCCACCAAATGAATGGTTGTAAGTCGAGGATTATCTATAGTTCTGTGCAAAAGGGGAAGGTGCCTTATTTTAACAGTTCCATACCCTTTCCACCTTTGTACAAATTGTGATGGGCCCCATCCTGTCAGCCCTGTTGAGCAGAGAGAAGAAATTGGACAAGCTGACATACCTCTGCAGGTGAACTAAAGGGACTCCATGCTTTGACGTCTTCTCTGTTTGTGTAATAACCTTTATTATTAGCTTATTAATTTTCCTTGGATATGACCTCCGTCTTTGCTCTTTGCAGCTTGTCAATGTGACCCGATCGGCTCTGAGAGCCCACAGTGTGACTGCCTAACTGGAGAGTGTTTATGCCATGGCAGCTTTACGGGAAGAAACTGTAACCAGTGCCGACGTGGTTTCCAGAAGAACTTTCCCCACTGTTCTCCCTGCCACGAGTGCTTCGGCCAGTGGGATCTCGTGCTGCATCAGCTCAATGAACAGCTGAAAAGGCTGCAGGAGAGAGTGCGGGCCCTGAAGGAAGGCGGCCCCATACCTGATGCCAGCAACGGCCGTCTGCGCAGCCTGGAGAGAAGCTTGGCTTGGGTGGAACAGCTTCTGATGGGTAGAAAGAGTCCGAGTGGTTCTGTGCTACAGCAGCTCAACAACCTCCTAGCAGATACAAGGTAGGAGATGTAGGTAGGCCAATAGGTAGAAGGTGGGAAGAACAGGGAGGAGAAACAGAGATATGGTCTCTCGTTCGTTTTCTGTGCATGACACATAACCTTCTTTCAGTCTATTGGTTTTCCTCCCTGGCCATCCTTGATGAGATACTTTTCACCAATTGATGATGATCATCATGATCATCATTTTTACAGGTTATAGGAACTGGGCATGGCTAGTCTAGTGAAGAGAAGGACCAGGGGAGACATGATAGCAGTCTTCCAATATTTGAGGGGCTGCCGCAGAGAGGAAGGGATCAAGCTATTTTCAAAGGCACCTGAAGGCCAGACAAGGAATAAAATGGATGGAAATTGAACAAGGAGAGATTCAACCTAGAAATAAGGAGAAATTTTCTGACAGTGAGAGCAATCAACCGACCAACAGCTTGTCTTCAGAATTTGCGGGAACTTTATCACTGGAATCTTTCAAGAAGAGATTGGACTGCCATTTGTCAGAAATGGTGTAGGGCAGTGGTTCTCAACCTGTGGGTCGCAACCCCTTTGGGGGTCAAACAACCCTTTCACAGGGGTCGCCTAAGACCATCAGAAAACACAAATTTTCGATGGTCTTAGGAACCGGGCCATAATTTTATGGTTGGGGGTCACCACAACATGAGGAACTGTATTAAAGGGTCACGGCATTAGGAAGGTTGAGAAGCACTGGTATAGGGTCTCCTGCTTAGGCAAGGTTATGTGATCAAAATTTGGGTGCTTGGCAGCTGGCATGTATTAATGACGGTTGCAGTGTCTCAGGGTCGCACGATCGTTTTTTGCAAGCTCCTGACAAGCAAAGTCAATGGAGAAGACCGATTCACTTAACCACAATATTATTATGTAAAATGGGGGCAAAACTCATGAACTGACTCACTTAGCAACAGAAATTTGGGGCTCTATTATGGCCGTAAGTTGAGGACCATCTATATATCCCACCCAAGGATGGGATTCAGCCGGTGTTACTACCGGTTCAGTGACAGTGCGTTTTGCACGCGTGTAAAGCATTCGGAAAGAAGTCATCAGCTGTGCCACCTGGACAGCTGACAAGCGCTGCTCACGGGTGCGCAGCATTTGAAAATCCTTGTCAGGCTACAGAACTTCTCCCATTCACTCAACTAGAATGAACTTCTGAAAACATATCAAAACGTATCAAAAAGGAATCCTTTATTGAGATGAGGCAATTCCTGTAGGAGTTCAAAGCAGCGTCTGAGGTCTCTCAGGTATACGGGGATACATAAGGGAGTTTAGAACCCCTCCCCTTATCTCGATGTATATTTAGTGAAACAAAAGCCAGTATGGTAATTCCTCCCCACCCCTTTTTTTTAAGGAACGATCTTTTTCACAGTTTCCCAGGGCATATACCTAATTTCCCCACCCCCGCCCCCTTTTTAGAACAAATTTTTCCAGAGATTCCTAGGACCCATCTCACTGTGGAATTTTTATGATCTTCTCATCTGCTGGCTGTGCCTCTCAGAGGTGATAGCTCCGGCCATCTGGCTTTTCTCCTTCCATTGTATCATGCGTGGGTTATACAAATTAGATATAAGATTAAATATATTCAGGTTACATCAGGAAAGGATTTCTTTATCAGCCTCCCTCCCCTTTTCTTCTTCCACTGAAGAAATGACAGATACACGGATCTGACATCCTGCCCTCCTTAAAAAACAGATAGGTCTACCTGGAAAAATCAAAAATCATGCATTACATTTGCAATTCAGGATGGTTTATCAGGGTATTTTTGGTGGAACCTATGTAGTAATGTGGGTGCTTTTACGTGTTGTTTGGCTACCCACTCATTTTCTGAGGAAGGAAGGTGTCTCCAAGCTACTAAATATTGTGTGGATCCACGATGAGTGCGTGAATCAAGGATATCTTTAATTTCAAAATGTTGTTCCCCATGTACCATGATGGGGGTTGGAGGTGTGGGAAGGGTGGGGGTCCTGAGGTTTGAAGTGATCTCTGGTTTGAGCAAACTACAGTGAAATACTGGATGAATCTGCCTAAGTGTTTTTGGAAGTTGAAGCTCTACCGTCACAGGGTTAATAATTCTGGAGATGGGGAATGGGCCAATGAATTTTGGTCCTAATTTCTTAGAGGGTTGTAATGATTTTAAGAATTTTGTGGACAAATATACACGGTCCCCAATCTTGAAAGGTTTAGATTCATAACGTTTTTTGTCTGCTTGAGTTTTGTAAACTGCTCTAGCTTCCTGTAAAGATAATCTTACCACTGGCCACATGGCTTGTTAAGTTATCCATCCACTCCTTAAGGGAAGGCATTTCAGGATCTTTGGTGGGTAGTTCCGGCATAGGGTTGAATTCTTGGCCCGTGGCTACCTGGAATGGGGTGAGCCCCATGCTACTATGGACTGAGTTATTGTATGCTACCTCTGCAAAAGGAAGAAAGTCAGTCCAATTGTACTGTTGGTGATTAATAAAACATCTTAAATATTGTTCTAATACGCTGTTTACTCTCTCCCTCGATCCGTCAGTTTGGCGATGATTTCCTGACGACAACCCCTGGGTGAAGTCTAATAGGTTTAAAAATGCCCGCCAAAATTTGGATGTGAACTGAACACCCTTATCTGAGATAATCCATTCGGGAGCTCCATGAAGGCGATAGATGTGTATTAAAAACATCTTTGCCAATGCCTTGGCAGTTGGGATCTTTTGGCATGGAACAAAGTGAACCTGTTTGGAAAAAAGATCAGTTACAACCCAAATGACAGTATTTCCAGCACTTTCAGGAAGCTCCAATATAAAGTCCATAGAGATCTCTTTCCAGGGAGCAGAAGGGTCTGCTACTATTTGTAAAAGTCCAGGATATTTTCCTTGTCTTCTCTTTGCAGCAGCACAGGTGGGGCAGCTCGCAACGTAGCTTTCAATGTCCTTTTTGAGGGACGGCCACGAAAAATTGTCTTTTGACAAGGTGCAGAGTTTTTACAAACCCAAAGTGTCCTGCTATTTTGGAGTCGTGGCTGTGCTGCGCAAAGCAGCTGATGTTGAAAAAGCAGGAAATAGAGGACAGCCAAGAGCCCGGGCGGGTGGGCGGATGGGCCAAAAAAATGACAAAAAGGTCGTTGCACCGAACCGGTTTTGCTGCTTCAGAGCTACCAGTTCTACAGAACCGGGCCGAACCGGTAGCATCCCACCCCTTATTGCAAGGAATGTCTTGGCCAAACAAGCATATGGGTGAGTGGGACCTGAGTCCTTATGTTATCCTCCTTCTCTAGGGCAGACATGGATAAGCTGTGGGATCACCTGCAAAATACAGATTTGGGCCTGGATAGCACTGAATGGAAAGTGACAGAGCAAAGGAGCCACCTCAAAGCATTGAATGAAGAAGTAGGCAAACTGAACCAGACCGTTAACTACCTTAGAAGTCAACTGGGAAAGATGGTAAACGCCAGCTTCAGTGGTAAGGAATTCAGTTTTGGTTGCCACAATGTAAAAAAAGATGTTGAGGCTCTAGAAAGAGTGCATGCAGATAAGAGCAACAAAGATGATTAGGGGACTGGAGGCTAAAACATATGATGAATGGTTGCAGGGTCTGGGCATCGCTAGTCTAGTAAAGAGAAGGACCCAGGAGAGACATGATAGCAGTCTTCCAGTATCTCAGGGGCTGCCACAAAGAAGAGGGAGTCAAGCTATTCTCCAAAGCACCTGAGGGCAGGACAAGAAGCAATGGGTGGAAACTAATAAAGGAGAGAAGCAACCTAGAACTGAGGAGAAATTTCATGACAGTTAGAACAATTAATCAGTGGAACAACTTGCCTTCAGAAGTTGTGAATGCTCCAACACTGGAGGTTTTTAAGAAGAGATTGGACAACCATTTGTCTGAAGTGGTCTAGGGTTTCCTGCCTGAGCAGGGGGTTGGACTAGAAGACCTCCAAGGTCCCTCCAAGGTTATTCTATTCTAATTGTAGTTGCCATGTTACATAAAAGGAGCATCCATACAAATCATGTTCCTTTCCTGATAAACCCTGTTTTTCCTCTGCTGGCAGAGTCTTTCCGTAGCATCGTGGAGTACTTCCAGCAATCGGAACAGGCCCTGAGGCAGGCCAATGCCTCCGTTCGAGGGCGTCAAAGTCCCGTGGTCCAAGCCAAACATACCCGGGTGGTCACGGTTGAGCTGTTGAGACAAAGAGGAAAGGCTTTTGGCAAGAGGGCAGCTGCTCACCAAAGGACTCTGAATAACTTCCAACGGAAGGTTGATGCTCTCCGCCTGAACAATATAAACCAGAAAGTGAGTCCCATAAGAGGAAAAGAATAGTAATGGCAGAAGCCGAGAGGAGTTTTCTAGAGATGGAAATGATAGCCCCGTCCAAACTGCCTTCTGGTTAGACTACAGGTGCCAATTCTGGTTCTGCAAGTTTGCCAGGTTTACTAGGTTGAATTTGAGAATTTTTCTGTAAGAATGGCCACTTAAATGTGTATGTTTTAGGTGTGTATGTCTCTGAACACGCACATTTTTCTTTGCAATGGTGTCTAATACACACAATTTTTAAAATATTCCCTGTCAGGCCCCAAGAACCAAGGACGACATATGGAGTAGCTTCTGAGTAGTTTCCTTTATTGTTCTTCACCAACAGACAGAATCTTGTCAGACTAAAGCAACTATCTACATAACTACAGCTACATATAACTATAAGTTATACTCTGGGAACTGCTAGTTTTAACTCTCTGCCTGCTGAGCAAACTTTCCAAGCTCTATTCCTCTTTGCCCTCTGGAAAGCAGTCCCTCCCCCCTGGGAATCCATATTACACTCCACCACATTCCCTAGTGTAATAGATGTTTATACATGGCATTTTGTATTTTGTTGAGATTTTTCCCTCATGTGTCATTTTTAATAGAAATTACATTGCAGAATTTGGGGAAATGCCAATGTCAAATTTAGGTTCATGCAAACAAAATAGACAAGTTTGCAATCAAATGCACATTTAATTCATTTCCCTTTCCTGTTAAACAAACAAAATAGACAAGTTTGCAATCAAATGCACATTAAATTCATTTCCCTTTCCTGTTCCTTGTTCCTGAGTCCGGCATTTTCATTCTTGGTCTATTGATGAGGCCCACAGCTCATCAGAGGTCTCTTTTCGTTGGATAATCTTTGTTTGTTGTCTTGTTCTAGATCTGCGGAGGTTCTGGAGAAGAGGCCTGTGAAGAAGCTTCTTGTGGAGGAGCTTCCTGTAAGGACAGTTCAGGCCAAAGGCACTGTGGAGGCCCTGGTTGTACTGGAGCTCTTCCTATGTCCCTCAAGGCCCTACATTCTGCCCAGAATATCTCACAGCAGCTGGAGACCACAGCAAGTCAGTTGGTCACCATTGTTAACAAGGTACAATGCCAGGCTGACTGTATGGAAGCATACCATGAAAAGATGCTGTTAAATTGTAGATCACATTTCTTAATTGATTTTACCTATATATATATATATATATGTTCTGTCTCACCTGTGGCCACAAGGTGAGAGTCCAAATGTCCAAAGGAAAAAACACGAACAGACAATATAAGGAACAACAGAGTTAACTTTCCTCTGGCCGAAGTCGTCATTGGCAGCTTTCCCAGAAGCTGTCTACAAATCCAGATAATGAGCAGAACCTATAAATCAGAGCTGAACGGCAAACAGAAAACTTTTTCTAAACTGCGAACGTAACTAACAAAGTTGATCCGAACAGGGCTTCAGAGCTAACACGCCTCCTTATATTTCCTGAAGGGGCGTGTCAGTCTCTTACTCAGTCCCTGATTCGACGTCTCCTTCCAGTTTGTGCTTGACGTTTCTGCTGATGTCTGTTCCTTGCATCAAACCGAGATTCTTCGGTTTGATCTTCATCTTCATCCAAGGGCTCTGGCACATTCTCCTGATCATCTGCTGACGCCTGAGGTATAATTGATGAGGAAGGTTCTGGAGAGGAGGGTGATTCTGACACTTCCTCATCCTCCTGGCTCACGTCTGCATCTCCCATTAAAGCAGGCTCAAATCCCAATGCCAAACCCTCCTCATCACTCAAACCTGTGTCTTCTGACACATCAGACTCAAAGCGCACAGCAGGCTCAAACCTCCCAGTCACAACATATATATGTGTGTGTGTGTGTGTGTGTGTGTGTGTGTGCTTTTGTCACGTGTAAGGAACAAGGATGTCCTAGAGGGCTGATCCAAAGGTGGTATTCAACCAGTTCGCACCAGTTCAGGTGAACTGGTAGTGGTGATTTGGCATGGATTGCCGAACCAGTGGCGACCCCTGCCTGGCCATGTTCCCGACCCAGTTGCCCAGTTGCTCACTTGCCTTGGTCACTCTCCAATTTTCCCTACCATGTGGCAGCCACGGTGCAGCTCGGATGGATGTTCTGCGGCGGCTGCACATGCGCACATGTGCACTGCAGTGCGCATGTGCAGCCGCCTCAGGACATCCGCCCACCTACCTGCCCTCCTGGAGCACGCTTACTTCCTTCTCCTGGCGGACACGCCTCTTCCAGACCAGACCAGACTAGCCAGCCAGCAGGTGGGTGGGTAGATGTCCCGGAGCTTCTTGGCCCCCTTGTCGCAAGATGCCTGCAGCTGCTGCATACTTTTTTTGGGTGTGGCTGGAGTCCAGCCCCACCAAAATAAGCACACCCTGTTCTATGTGCTGGGCCCGGCAAGTCTGAGTAGCCAGCGCGGAGAACAGGGCGGTGCTGGACTGTTGGAGAAGCGGAGCGGAGCCGGAGTTCAGTAATGTTTGTTGCAAGAAGCCTGCAATTGCCATGTGTTCTCCAGCCCCACTGAAAAAAGCACAACATGCACCGGCCCATTGGAGAAGCAGAGCGGTAGCTACATGGTTCTCGCACCAAAAAAGGGGCAGCTGGAGGAGACTTCTTGCATTGAAAAAGAGGCATCTGGAGACCGAAAAGGAGTCTCCTCCAGCCGTCTCTTTTTCAGCGCAAGAAGCCTCCCGCAACTGATAGTAAAAAAAAATAATTTGAATCCCACCACTGGGCTGATCAGAATGGTGTGCTTATTTCTACTTGCCTATTGATAGGAATCTTTCCAGACTAATTTATTTTATTTATTTATTAAATTTGTTTGCCACCCATATCGCCACGAGGTGATTCTGCATTAATGACAGAAACTACTACAGAAGCAATACAAGGTTTAGGGGTGGGGTGGGGTGGCTAGTCAGCTTTTCCAGTCCTCCCCTGGATTCGGACTCTAACACACTTTTACAGATTTGTTTTTGTTTTTCTTAATAGAATCTAAGTGGCTTATAAAAACAATATGTAGTAACGCGTAACCCTAAGTGTGCCTTAAAATGGTACTTTTTTGCAGAAGATATTATGCCTGATTTGCTAAGTATTCTGATTTATTGTGTTGGGCAGCTGATACACACATGCTGATTAATGATTTCTGGTTAATTCCTCCTGTCTGCAGGAATGGCTTTTTAAAAAAAGTCTAAAGTCACTTTTTTCAATGCTGTTGTAACTTTGAATGGTCACTAAATGAACTGTTGTTCAAGGACTACCTGTAAATAAACATTCTTCCTTAAAAGTCAGGATATTGTTCCTGTTGTGAACAGTTCCAATGTTTAGTCACAAAAGCGTCAAAAAAACACAAGATTATAGTAACGTGCACATGTTGAATTGGGGGAAAAAAAAATCTAGATAGTATTTACCACTGTTCTAACAAAGCACACCCTATACGCATTGCATGGTCACAACCAAGGGTGGGATTCTACCAGTTTGCACCTATTCGCTAGATCCGGTTGTTAACATTCTAAGCAGTTTGGAGAAATTGTTAGAAGAAATTACTGGCCTAATCCTGTAAGGAAGGCAGGAAGGAAACATTCTGGTATTGCTTACAGAAACTACCTCTCTGTTAACCCTTATTACATTCTTGGCAGGACTAGACTTCCTGTCTCAGGAACTTCTCTGGAGGTTTTTTTCCCTCCTTTGCTGGTACTTTGCTTGTGTGGAGCGACCATTCAAAGTTACAATGGCACTGAAAAAAATGACATGACCATTTTTCACATTCACGGCTGTTGCAGCATCCCCACAGCCATGAGAGGCCAGGCGAGGAGATGCGTGCCTCGATGTGAGTGATGTTGAGTTGGCCACGCCCAGCCAATAACATGACCACCAAGCCATGCCCACCCAGTCACATGACCACCAAGTCACGCCCACCACCCAAGCCACGTCCACAGAACCGGTTGTTAAAAAATTTGAACCCCCATCCCTGGTCACAACGTCATTTTTTGATCCCCCTACCAGATGCCCCTGAGAAATACTAAGCTGAAGCTTCCATTCTAGGTGCAAGAAGTCCAGAACCTGGCACAAGATGCCAGGAACCACGCTCAGGACATCTTGGACCATGCTCAAGGAGCTCGGAACCAGGTAGAGAAATCCACAGCCAAGCTGAGGGAATTCATCCAGAAGATAAAAGACTTCCTAGCAGGTACCAGAGTTTTGCTCACACCGTCCAAAAGTGAATGTATCCTCCGGCTGCCTTAATAAACTATAAATCCTAACTTCATAAAACCATAGGGTTGGAAGAAATATTGGAGATCTTCTAATCTAGTCCCCAGCCCAGGGCAAGAATCCTCATGCTCTCCCAGACTACCATAGCAACCCAACCTTCCATTTCCCACTAACCAGTCAGAGTTGAAGAAGCTTCTTGGATGAGAAGCAAAACATCTTCAAAAGAAAAAAAAACAAGAAAGTCCAGTTGCCTCCTGAAAAAGCACATTTGGGACAACCATGACCTGGATAACAGAATAGAATAGATGGAGTAGAATAAAGTAGAGTAGAGTGGAGTGGAGTGGAGTGGAGTGGAATGGAATGGAATGGAATGGAAGAGAAGAGAATTAGAGAAGAGAATTCTATTCTAGAATAGAATAGAATAGAATAGAATAGAATAGAATAGAATAGAATAGAATAGAATAGAATAGAATAGAATAACAGAGTTGGAAGGGACCTTGGAGGTCTTCTAGTCTCTACAGATTTATGGCTATTCAATCTTCCAGTGATGAAGCTCCCATGATTCCGGGGACTCTCAAAGTCAAGAAATTCCTCCTTATTTTGAGTTTTGATCTCCCTCTGTAAAGCTTCCACCCATCCTTATCCTATGCAGGATGGAAATAAGGATGTTAGTAACCAAAGTGCATTCTGACAATGTTCATATTGTAATAATTGGTTTTGGGGAGGGCTAGGCTGATGACTGGGAAGCAGAATGGACAGTTTGCAAAGTAGGTAGACATCAAAGGCCTGTGCTTGTCTCCCTAGAGGAAGGTGCTGATCCAGAGAGCATTGAGCTGGTGGCTCAACAGGTCCTGAACATTCCCCAGCCCATCAGCCAAAGTGAGATTGACAGTCTGATTAAGGAGATCTTGGATAGAATTGGCCAGCTGAACAGAGTGGATGTTATCCTGAACTGTACTGTGCAAAACCTAACCCTTGCTAGAGATTTGCTGACAAAAGCAGAACAGGCCAGGTAAGTGTCCCTGGCAGGAACAAAACCAACCCATTTTATTAATTAAGGTTTTCGGTTAAAAAAACAACAGTGATGTCACGTATTTTGCAGAATCAGTTCATTTAGTCAGGATCCAAGCTTAAGGGCCAATGAGAGCATGTGACCTTGGGTAGGATGGGTCCCTCTCATCTTTTATTATCCTCTTCTGAAGTTCAAAGGTTAGCATTGGACCAAACCGCACACATTGTGGTTCACTATGTTGTGAGGATGCAGCCCTCATCTTAGCGTATTGGGTCGATCAGACTGTAACTGTTGAGGTATTCCCCGTTAGGAGAATGAGTGCACTCAGGGAAACATAGTAAGAGTGGTGATGACTAACACACAACCAGCACACAGATACGTTGAATAGTAAAATGTAAGTTTTTACTTCTAGTAAATGGGTAAACAAAGTCCAACAAACTGTCCAAATCATACACAGTTAAAGCAATTAGTATTCAAAACAATCAGTCCAGGGATAATCCAAAAATGAACTTCTTTTCTTTACCATTATCATAAACAAAGTTCAGTAAATGGAGTTTGCGAACAGTTGCAAGACTCACAGCAATTCAAGCAGAATGATGTTCAGGCAAAAGGCAAAAAGGAAATGCAAGAAGAACAAACCAGGTTTCTAGCTCCATCTTATGGCCGTTGGAGGAACCTCAGCCAATCACAATTACAACATTCTCTTAAAGATACAACAGTATTAAATGACTATCCTGGTTTATATATTGCCAACCCAATTGTTAGGTGACTATCATTCCTAACAGTTAAGCTACAACATGGTCCACCTGGATGTAAGCTGTTGTATGAATACAGAATGTGTTATCCAGGCATAGCATTGTGCACCTTGTTTGAAACCAGTCTAAGCTATGGTAGTAAGTGACAATGCCAGCTTCCATAGTCCTAATCTTGCAGTGGGAGAACTGAAGAAAGAATGAAAAACAGTCTGGACAAAGTGATGTATAGGGTGCTAAAGAAATATCCATAGGTATCACATTGGGACCCCTGACCTGAAACATAGAACTTTTCCTATTTTTTCTCCAGTTGGTTCTTCTTCCAGATATTTACATCTGTTTCTCATAGTCTTTTGCAAAGAACTACAAGTATAAGACTTGTTACTTTCCCCTTATAATTGTTATTTGGTGCCAGTTGTCTAGACCAGAAATTGCTTCTAGTTCAAGCTATCCAGAAAGTATTATAGGTAGTCCTGGGATTTTCATCACTCATTCAGTGACTGACATTGTACAGAGTACAGATAGTCCTCAACTTACAACCACAATTGAGTCCAAAATTTCTGTTATTAAGGGAAACATTTGTTAAGGGAGTTTTGCTGCATTTTACAACTTTTCTTGCCACAGTTGTTTAATAAATCGCCCCAGTGGATAAGTTAGTAACCCCCAAGGTTAATACCGTAGGTTAGTAGCCCAGTTGTTAAGTGAATCTGGCTTCCCCATTGACTTGTGAGAAGGTTGCAAAAGGTCACATGACCTCAGGACACAGCAACGGTCATAAGAATGAACCAGTTGCCAAGTGTCAGAATTTTGATCGCATGATCAGTGCCATTGTAACTTTGGTCACTAAACAAACCGTTGTAAGTTGAGGATTACCTGAATATATCTCTGTAGTACCCACCTTCCTGCCCATGCTTTCTAGTGGTATCCGCTGGTCTCCCTGAATTCAAGTAGCGTCTGCCTATGATTCTCATTGACTGGCACACACTAAGTAGGGCCAACCCTCCGTCCCTACCAGCCAACCCACATTCAGTTCCACTCACCCATGGCTCCTCACCCACTGGCCTGCTTAACTAGGACTCTGGTCACATATTGTTTTCTCTTAACAAGCTGCGTGGTTTTTGGTTACGATGGCAACTGGGACCGTTGGGATTGCTATTGCCTAAATGATGTGGTCAAATGTCATTGTGGTTTATAACCACATTGCTTAGCAACAGAAATTCCACTCCAGGTGGCCGGCGTAATCGGAGGACTACCTGTACTTTCGTCCCCAAAGCTTCATCTGCAATAATTGTTACACTGGTGGAATGCCATGGAAGTTCTTTTGTTTTGTTGTGCTTCTTCTCCACAGGGAAAAAGCAGAAGGTGTACAGGAAATGGTGGTAGAAACATCCGGAGTGTTGGACAGTGCCAAAGACAAAGTGAAGGCCGCCGAGCAAGCCCTGAAAAAGACAAAGGAAACCATCCAGAGTGTGGAAGGCAAAGTCAAACAGGTGAAGTGCAGAAGTTTCAAATCCCTAGTGCCGCGTAACGGAGTCAGCTCCCATTACTTGTCCCAGCTTCTGCCAACCTAGCAGTTCCAAAGCATGTAAAAAATGCAAGTAGAAAAATAGGGACCCGTTTGGTGGGAAGGTAGCAGTGTTCCCTGCACCTTTGGTGTTTAGTCATGCCGGCCACATGACCACAGAGACGTCTTCAGACAGTGCTGGCTCTTCAGCTTTGTAATGGAGATGAGCACTACCCTCTAGAGCTGGAAACAACTAGCACATATGTGCGAGGGGAACCTTTACCTTACATTTTGGGGGAGAAAGGGAATTGTGAGTTAGTCAAGACCCTAGATAGCTTTTAAGTGAGCCGCTCCTGAGTATTTTCTGTACCTGGCCTTTCCTTCTGCCCTTCCACGATTCTGCAGGTAAGACTCAAACTCCGCTCCTCCTCTTTTCAGTGCCACATACATGCCATTTTCTGGCAGCTCCCTTCTCCTGGGACTTGTATTTGTATTCCCAGATTAATTTATAGCCCTGGTATTTTCTTGACAGCTCTCATCCAGGGATAAACCAGATCCCAAACACTTTTGGACTCTAGTTCAGTGGTGATAAGTGCAACCTTTGACAAACCTGAAAGACAGGTTACAATGTCCCGGAAAAAATATCTTGTCTAAGTGGGTCTCTAGGAGTTGAAAATGAATGAATCAATCTTCTTTCGCTTTTCAGCATCGCCCAAGAATGGCATTTAAGGAAATGCTCTTTAATGCCTCCAATAAGAAATTGCTCTTTTAATGTCACTCCAAAGCTGAAAATGTAATGGATTTTTCCTGAGAGCAAAAACTCTTTAATGCAGGTAGTCCTCGACCTACAACCACAATGGAGCCCAAAAATTCATGCGGAGGCATTTGTCAAGTGAGTTTTGCCCCGTTTTACAACCTTTCTTGCCACTGTTGTGAAGTGAATCACTGCAGTTGATAATTGTTAAGCGAATCTGGCTTCCTACCTGACTTCGCTCCTCAGAAGGTTGCAAAACATGATCCCCATGACACTGCAACTATCATAAAGGTGAGTCAAGTCACCAAGTGTCTGAATGTTGATCGGGTACATTGTAAGCGTGGCAAATAGTCTTAAGTCACTTTTTTTTCTTCAGTTTCCTTGCAATGTTGAACAGTCACTCAGTGAACCGTTGTAAATCGAGGACTACCTGTATTAAGCCTGTATGATTCTGTGAAGGTTTAGTTAACTTTTACATACCTAATAGCAGTGTTCCTCAACCTTGGCCACTTAAAGATGTGAGGATCCAGAATTCCCAGGCCAGCACGCACCTTAAAGTTATCAGCGTTGAGAAACAGTGCCTCATAGTACCAAGCTCACTGAAGGAGTTACACTTCCCTCTCTTAAGTATCCATTGTTGTTTGTAAAATCACTTCATCATATATCACCACCCTTTTAAAAGGCCTCTGGTTAATGCATTGTATAGCTTATCTCACCCCCACAGTATCCCTGCTTTATCTGGCTTCTAGTCCTATTTTTAAATCATCTTGGCATTAGTCTGCATACAGAATGCCAACCAATCTAGTCTTAGATTGGGAACATAACATGTATTGTGCAGGCCCCCAACATTATGGAGTTACCATTAATACATGATAAATGTATTTGTAATACCAAATTCGTAATGCTAAAATGTCACATGTGCACTCATAAATATAAATTTAGACCTTTATGGTGCCGCAAGATACTATACTTCTGCTACAAAATCCTATCAAGGCTACTATAAAATGGTCCCAGTAATCAATACTCTCGGTCAGTAGCATCTGTCACATATATACTGATCTTGCCAGTTTATTTTATGAAATAATTAAAATAAATGAAACAGTATTGCGCTAAAACTTCAGATTGAGGGGTTGTTTATGAGATGGAAATGAGAGGGTTACTTTCCTGATTATGGAAGATTTAAAAAATTCCCTGACACTTATTTTTAAATATCAGAAGGCAGATTTAGCAGCAAAATAGATACAGGTAATCCTTGACTAGTGCCCATTCAAAGTTACGACGGGCCCGCCTTGGGGCTACTTATGACCCAGATTTGAAATTCTGATGGTCGTCCTCATCATCGTCACATGATCAAAGTTGGAGTCCTTGGGTGACATGGTCGCTTTTACAGTCATTTGCAGCATCCCACAATCATGTGACTACATTTTGTGATGGTTTTGCTGAAAATTGGGGCTTAGATCTGTTTGGCAAAGCTGCAACCCCTGCAAAAAAAGGTCATAAAATTGTTTTATGACCAACGTGACTTATGACTGTAATTCTGGCCTCAAGGACTCTAGAGATTCTCCATCATCCAGGTCATGGTTGTCCCAAAGGTGCTTTTTCAGGAGGCAACTGGACTTTCTGTTTTTTTCTCTTGAAAATGTTTCGCTTCTCATCCAAGAAGCTTCTTCAGCTCTGACAGAACAGTGGGGAATGGAAGGATATATATTCCTTGCAGACAGCTGGTAATCTCCATCCTTTTAGAGAGTTTTTGGAGCGCTTGGAGGTTTATCTGTGTTTTCAGGGTGCTTGGAGGTTTATCTGTGTCTTCAGGGTCCTGGTTCCTCTAGTCTGCAATTTTTTCCTCTGGAAATCCATTCCTACTCCCACATCATTCAAAGGGTGTTCATTCCAAATTGTATAGCTAAAAATCTATAGGGATTCTCAGTCATCCAGGTCATGGTAAGAAACGAAATGTTTTCAAAAAAAAAAAAAAACCCCTAGGAAGTCCATTTGCCTCCTAAAGAAGCACCTTCGGGACAATTTTGGCCTCAGTTACAATAGTAAGTCAAGGACTACCTGTGCATCCTTTGCAACTATCATTTTATTGCTCTATATATTATACAGTATCTTTCTCTAATTTATTGCCCCAGTCATTTTCTTCTGTGCAATTTTACTTATCTACAACGTCATCCTTTCAGCAAGCATTCTTTTTCATATCTCCTATTAATGTAATTCCACAAGCTCTCCTGTCCTCTGCAGATTAATTCTTATCATTCTGTTCCACATAACTTCCAAATCCCCTTTCTGTACGCTCATTTTCTATTAATCCTGGCTTCTCCTCTATTAGGAGATTAATCTATCTTCTCATGCTGTTTCATGCGAGGCTTTCTCTCGCAGTTCGTATACTTTTCATTTCTTTCACTTCCTTCCAAGATGATTTTTCTCTGATCCACTCGTGACCTCTCGCATTCAGACCTTCTTATTATATTTGGACCATCAGTAATCTTTTCAAGGCTTTCATCATAGACCAGTGGTCCCCAAGCTTGGCAACTCTAAGACTTCTGGACTTCAACTCCCTGAATTCCTCAGCCAGCTATGCAAATTATCATAGACAGTCAAATCAATCCGTTTTTTTTTATGCTTGCACATGGAATAGATTTATGGTTAAAGCATTCTTGTGTAATTCTAAAGAAACATATAATTATGAAATGCATTTGAATATAAGTAGCTCGGGTTGGTAGTTGGGCTATTGGTCTGAGCTCCGAGCTTGGCAAGTTGGTTGCAAACATTTTTGTCACCATTCAAGGAAACATCGTCAGTGCGCTGGACAGACGAGCACAATTCAAAGCACACTGACAACGTGTCCTCGAATGGGGACAAAATGTTTGCAACCAAATTGCCAAGCTCGGAGATCAGCCCAACAGCCCAACATATAATTTATTTCTGAACAGACGTTGCCAAACTATTCATTTGTGGGTTTCTGAACAACCCAATCACTTTTTCTGTGGTCTCACATCTTATTTATATCCATTCACCCCAAGAAATCTAATGGAATTCTTTTTTTTTTTCTATAGGATCACATTCATTCAGAATGTTGTGTATTTCCCCCAAAACTCACATTTGTTTTTTCTATTATTCATTATTCATTGTACTGCAACTATTACCAACCTATGAATTCTGACTTCCCTTTTTGCCTACATTAACTCAGTTGACTCCAATTAAAACTTTCTGACATACATTTATGGATATAACTTTCAGCTCATACAGGTTGTTTCAATGTATGACTGGTCACTTAGCAACCATTCAAAGTTATGATTGACCTCCCTCCCCCAAAAGGCAGGACATAAATAAATGGACTTAAAGTCAGTTTTGGGGATTTTCTGATAAGTAGTTTGAGGTAATGAAGGAAAACATTTGGGAAGCATCCCAAAGGTGCTTTTTCCAGAGGCAACTGGACTTTCTGGTTTTATTTTGAAGATGTTTCGCTTCTCATCCAAGGAGCTTCTTTGGCTCTGAGCTGCCTACCAGAGCTGAAGAAGCTTCTTAGCTGAGAAGTGAAACATCTTCAAAGAAAAACCAGGAAGTCCAGTTGCCTCTTGAAAAAGCACCTTTGGGACAACTATGACCTGGATGATTGCAAATCTCCATAGACAATTGGGAAGCATTATTGTACTGTATTAACTTTCTATTAATTGCAATCTTTGTATGCCAAAGACATGCCGGAGGAGTCAGTCCCAATTCCAAAACTGATTTTCGTGTGGATGTGCCCTGAATGTGGATGTGACCTTTCTCAAAAGACAACCCTTAATCATGCTTTGTGACTTTCTTTTCTCTCAGGCTGTGACCCAGCTGGAAACACTCCTCAACAAGGAACTGCGACTGGAGAGGCGTCTGAAAGGCTTGGCACAGGATGTGGCCACCTTACAAAAGAAGTCCCAGGATAATCAGCGCCAGGCCCAGCAGGCCACAGGAAAAGCCGAGCGTGCCACTAACATAGCCCTCCGACTCAAAAATGTGAGAGATCCTTCGTTGTTGTTACTTTTTATTAAGGGCAACTGTTTTTCGTGGTGGCAGTAACAAATTGTAGATTCCCTCTATAGTGCAGTTTCTCTACCTTTGAAACTTTTAAGATATGTGGACTTCAACTCCCAGAATTCATGTTAGCTGGGGAATTGTGGGAGTTGAAGTCCACATAGAATTGAATAGAATGGAACAGAACAGAAGAGAACAGAACAGAATAGATTAGAATAGAACAGAACAGAATAGAAAAGAATTCTTTATTGGCCAAGTGTGATTGGACCCAAGGAATTTGTCTTTGGTGCATATGCTCTCAGTGCACATAAACAATAACATTTGTCAAGAATCATAAGGTATAACAATTATAGTTATAGGGTACAATCATCCATCAAATCATACTAGGAAACAGTCAATATAAATTGTAAGGATACAAGCGACAAAGTTACAGTCATACAGTCACAAGTGGGAGGAGATGGGTGATAAGGAGTGATGGGAGGATTAATAGTAATTAATAGTAATAGTAATATCAATATCTTACAGTTGCCAAGGTTGAAAAACAATGTGTTAGAAGAATTCCAGAACTCCAACTTAACATTATTTTCCCCACCTTGTTACATTGCCTCCTTGGCAGTGGCCTCTATCTTCATCTCCTCTTTGGAACTCCCTCTGTTCCTCCTTCCCTTGAAAGGTCTGTTGTCTTTCTGCACAGGGTTATGTAGAAAAGATTATTCAAATTATTAATATTCACCCCACAAAATCTTGGCTGATTCTTTAGCGGGAAGTCCCTTAGTTACTCAGTCTATACAGGTAGACAGTCTTGACAGCCATAACTGAGCCCAAAATTTCTGTTGCTAAGCGAGACAGTTAAGTGAGTTTCACCCCATCTTACAACCTTTCTTGCCGGAGTTGTTAAGTGAATGACTGCAGATGTTAAGTTAGTAACATGGTTGTTAAAGTGAATCCCACTTCCCCATTGACTTTGCTCATCAGGTAAAAAGGGATCACTGGCTGGGACAGTGCAACCATCCTAAATATGACTCAGTTGCCAAGTGTCCGAATTTTTATCATTTGACCCTGGGGAATGCTGCAACAGTTGTACGTGTGAAAAATGGTCATAAGTCACTTTTTTTTAGTGCCGTTGTTAACTATGAAAAGTCACAAAATGAATCGTTGTAAGTCGAGGACTGCCTGTACTTGACAGAATTCAAAATAATTTTTTCTTTTGCCAAAAGTCCACCAGTGGTGGGATTCAAAAATCCCTGCAACTGGTTCACTGCCCAGTTGCTGGGTGGGCGTGGCCATGGTGAGCGTAGCCAACCGGAATTTCTGGGAGGGCCGTTTTTCACCTTCCCAAGGGTCCAGAGTGTTAGGAATGATAGCCACCTAACAGTTGGGTTGGCAATATATAAACCAGGGTAGTCATTTAATACTGTTGTATCTTTAAGAGAATGCTGCAATTGTGATTGGCTGAGATTCCTCTAATGGCCATAAGATGGAGCCAGAAACCTGGCTTGTTCCTTTGTGCATTTCCTTTTGCCTTTTTGCCTGATCATCATTCTGCTTGAATTGCTGTGAGTCTTGCAACTGTTTGCAAACTCCGTTTACAGAACGTTGCTTATGATACTGGTAAAGAAAAGGACTTCGTTTTAGGATTATCCCTGGACTGATTGTTTTGAATACTAACTGCTTTAACCGTGTGTGATTTGGACTGTTTGTTGGACTCTGTTTACCCATTTACTGGAAGTAAAACTTACATTTTACTATTCAGTGTATCTGTGTGCTGGTTTTGTGTTATTCATCACCACTCTCATTATGTTTCCCTGAGTGCACTCATTCTCCTAACGGGGAATACCTCAACACAGAGGCTTTCCTCGGGCCTCTGGGAGGGCAAAAATGGCCTCCCCCGGGCTTTGGAAGCCATCCAGAAGCTGGAAACAGACCTGTTTTGTGACTTCTGGTACTTCCAGTAGGGCCGTTTTTCTCCTTCCCAGAGCCTCCGTACAGACCTGCACTTACCTGCATCGAAAATGGGCCATGTGGAGACTCCTGGGAGGGGAGAGTGGGGGAGGGGTGGGGTGGGTGGGACCAGCTGGTCGGTTCAAATACCAGTTCAGTGAACCAGATGCAAATTTAACATCCGGTTCGCTCGAACCGGTAGAAACCCACCCCTGAAGTCCACCCAAGCTAGCCTGTTTTCCCAAAAGCTTCCCTAGGAAAGCTGGTCTCATGATTCCTTTTTCCCTTTATTGTTCCGCCTTCTTCTTCCCTCCCCATTCTAAATGTCAGTGTGTGCAGGGGGGCAAGCAATGGGAAGGTAATCCTCAACGTACGACCAGAATTGAGCCCAAAATTTATATTGCATGAGGTTGCAATATAACCGTCAAGCATTATGCAACCGTCATAAATGTGACTCAGTTGTCAAGCATCCAAATGTAGATCACATGACCATGGGGATGCTGCAATGGTCATACCTCTGAAAAATGATCATAAGTCACGTTTTTCAGTGCCGCTGTAACTTCGAACAGTCACTAAATGAACTGTTGCAAGTTGAAGACTATCTGTACTGTTGCCACAACCTCACAATGCAGTTCTTCCCCTTACCTACTGTTATACATTGTCATCACTCAGCAGTGTGACAGCACTCACATCGTGATATCACAGCACAAACATTATTTTGGCATCACCATGGTTAGGAATGGAGGATGCCTGCGTGCCTAAAGAAGCTACAGAGAGGTATGCCCAGTATTCTCTCATGAATCCTATTCTCAGTTTTGAAGAAGAGCTACGAAAATGCTAATTAGTCCCTGGTGAGAAAATGGCTATCTTCATCCTCCGTAGGCAAAGCTTACTCTGTGAGTAATTGCTGAGGGTTGCAGGCAAGTAATGAGGCAACAAATATCAAGACATGGCCAGATGGCCTTGTAAAGGGGAAATCCTCAAGCAGACAGAAAAGTATACCAGCCTAAAAATCTGTGTTGTCCTGGAGATCTATTCCTATTGCTATTCTATCACAAGAACAAACCCATCAAGTCAAACTATCTTTAGAGTATCAATACAATATGAGATAATATGTTAAGACTCTAGAAAGGGTGCTGAGAAGAGTAGCAAAGATTTTTTGGAGGACTGGAAGCTAAGACATATGAAGAATGGTTGCAGGAATTGGCTATGCCTAGTTTAATGAAAAGAAAGACTAGGGTTGACATAGTAGCAGTGTTCTGATATCTCAGGGGCTGCCGCAAAGATCTCCAAAGCACCTGAAGGCAGACAAAGAAGCAATGGATGGAAACTAATCAAGGAGAGAAGCAACCTAGAACCAAGGAGAAATTTCCTGGACAGTTAGATCATATTAATCAGTGGAACAACTTGCCTCCAGAAGTTGTGAATGCTCCAACACTGGAGGTTTTAAACAAGAGATTGGACAACCATTTGTATGAAATAGTATAGGGTTTCCTGCCTGAGCAGGGGGTTGGACTAGAAGACCTCCAAGGTCCTTTCCAATTCTCTTATTCTGTTAAGTCAAGTCATCGGCAGATTCTTCCAGCTTCGTTGCTTGTCCCCTGCGCATCCCCTACCAGAGCCAAAAATAATCACCAGCTGTTCTCTATAATGTGTGTGCTGTCCCAGCCAGTCTATGGGAATTGGATAGTTACTTAGGAATTATTCCCCGTAAGGATAATACAGTTTTGTCCCATGCACAACACTCGTCACTCGCTGAACAGCTGCACTGGGTTTGCAGCGAAATCACTGACCCAACAAAAAGAGTTGCTAAGGGAGTACCAATACTGCTACAAGTGTTGTGAATCCAAACACCCATCCAAGTACTGCACAGTCAAGGTGCAATGTGACTTATGCAATAGTGACCAGCACTCAGCCGCGCTGCATCCAGACTCCGAGCCATCACTGCGCATATCTCGTAACCCTCAACATAACACAGAAGCATGCAGGGCTCCTCGGCAGTCTGACAAATTGCAACCAAAACCAAGCATGAGTGTCAACTGCACAGCACTGTGCGTTGACTCACCATGCCTTGATTCGTGTCTTCCCATCTGCTTAGCCAAAGTGTACCCTGAAGATGCCATGAAAATGTACTTGCGGATAGACACTCAAAGCACCTGCATCCTGGCCAGACCTGCATTCTTCGACCTCTTTGAGGTGCAACAGGATGAACTTCACTTCACTGTATCAACGTGCCATGGACCAAGAAGCACGGTGGGGAGGAGAGCTACTGGACTCTGCATAACGTCATTGGATGGAAGTTCCCAGTTCCCACTACCACACGTATTTAAATGCAATGGGATACCGAACGACCGCAGTCAGAATCGCAACACCTGAGGTCATAAGTAGCATGCCTCACCTACAGCACCTGGCTCATCACTTTCCCACTCTAGATCCGGAGGCTGAGATCCTACTCTTGCTGGGAAATAATGCCCCACGTGCCTTTCTCTTCTCCGAGTCAGTCGGCGGCCCTGTAGATGGCCCAGTGGCCATCAAATCTCCACTAGGATGGGGGATCGTAGGAATTGTCAGTGACGATCAGGCTCCAACCCAGGCAAATGCCTTAGCACCATCTGTTCCAACTGCCTTCTGACGCCCTTTAACACCATTGAAAACAAGAATGCCGTTCCAGCCAAAAAGGCTGTCGGCAATCAGTACACTTTAGCTAGGACACCCTAAACGGCCGCCAACAACCACCAGACGTCCACTAAGATGCTCTACATGGGCCTATGCCTCCACAACACCCTTTCCAACAGCTTCCCGATGCCCTTTGACACCGTGGAAGCAAGAGTACCATTCCAATCCTAAAAGGCCGCTGGAAGCGACCAGCAGACTTTCACCTTTGCCACCAAGAGTACCTGTACACCCTAAAAAGCCGCCAGAGGTGACCAGCAGACTTGCACCAAGAGGCCGAACTTGAAGATTGAACCTCAAGCTTTGCATGCTTCGCTTTGTTTGATGCTTTATTAATGTTTACTGTTTTTCTTAGTTATATAGCTAACTGTTTATCTCAGTTATATAGTTATACGCTATTCAGTTAGTATTACTGCCTACTGCTTATCTTAGTTTATAGTTGTTGTTTTTTTCTCTTCTCTTAATTGTGGAATTTACAATTCCAGGCGGGGAGTGTGCTGTCCCAGCCAGTCTATGGGAATTGGATAGTTACTTAGGTATTATGAGCTGTCCCCTTAAGGGAATGCATCATGGTAAATGTAGTTAAAGGTATCCTGGGAAGTGTAGTTCATGTCACGTGGCCACATCTGCATTCCTGATTGGCCACTAAATTGACCCTCGAGGGGTTGGGGGAAGTTTTCCTCACTTTTGCCTGAACTCTCTAACTCATGGCGGCTTCTTTCTATCGCTACAAAATGGGTTAGGAGATAACCATCTTTTACTACAAGGCAGATATACAAAGGATTGGTCATTAAAGAACTTTGTCACAAATGTGAATTATGAGGATACCTGATGAACCAATAAATATAATTTATTATGGACGTCTTGTTATCTATCTGCATCTGTACAGCGTCAAATCCACCTCTGTGCAGAAGGCAGAAAAATGTGCGTTAGAGCAGAATTTGGTGTATGTTCATGGATCCTGGAATGTCCAATTTACCTATCTGTTGGATTGCCCTCAAAAGTAAATTGACAAGAAAACATGAAACTCCTTGTTGGCAGAAGCAGCAAAAAGCCAATTAAGCACTCAGTGGTGACAGAACCACTAAGGAGCATCTGGCAGCATCTGGCTTTCTTAGCCAATTTGAATTGACCTTTTGGGAAGCACAGGAGTAGCGGTTCTTCAAAAGAGACTTACATCCATGTTTTTAAGGAGACCTTATAAGATCTGGCGAGTACTTTGGAAAGCATCGGCCAGGCATTAGATGGGCAGATGTCTCTATGGGAACCGCAAAGCATTTGTCTCTCATGCCACCAAAATGGCAACGGAGGGCAATGCCCGACAGCGAGAGAAGAGGAAATATTTTCACGGAAACTTGAAATGGCAAATAGATGTTGAGCACACCCTAATCATCAATTGTATCCTTGATGAAGCATGTGCTCAGAATTTCTGTGAGGGTGGATGGGGCCCCTTGTTAAATGTAGGCTTTTCGTATGTTTTTGTATGGAGTAGCTGGATCCCATCTTGTGAATCTATTTTGTAGGGTATTGTGCTTTTATCTTGTTTTGCTATATTTATCTTGTTTTGCTATCTAAGAGCCGCAGTGGCACCGTAGTTAGAGTGCAGTACTGCAGGCTGATTTCTGGCTGCCTGCAGTTTGCCAGTTCAAATCTCCCCAGGCTCAAGGTTGACTTCCATCCTTCTGAGGTCAGTAAAATGGGGACCCAGATTGTTGGGGGCAATATGTTGACTATGTAATTGCTTAGAGAGGACTGTAAAGCACTGTGAAGCAGTATATATGTCTAAGTGCTATTGCTATTGTGAGAACCTAGAATCAGTTCAGAGCTGAGACATGACTAAATTGAATTAAAGAAGTTAAAGAAAGCATACTAGATCAGACCTACAGTGGAAACTCTATTAAAGGGTGACACAAAAGACCACTGTTCGTTAAAACTGAAATAGCTAAATCTGCCTCTTAAAAACATCTCAGAAAGCAACATCATGACATTACGGTGCATTAAAAGGACTACCAAAGCCTGTTTGTATCACAGTTAGGGATCAGAAGAATGAGCTCACAATCAATTAATCTATGTGCGTGTATATGTTAATTCTGCCAGATGTTACACTGTTTGTATGTTTTACATCTGTTATTAGAATATATGGAAAATCGGGATCAGTTAAAACTGCAGGATAAATATTTGCCACCGATACAAAATAGCTCAAGTGCCAAAAATAAGGCCCGCAGGCACAGTAGAAACATGGTAAATGCCAAGCCGTGATCAAGTAATCAAGCAGATCAAGGGAAAAAAATGCAGAGTGGCTGCTGACTCGGATAAATTGTGAGATAGACAGTGGTTCCATTTGACGGCTTGCAAAGTCCGCTAACGGCTCTGAAGGTGGTATGGAAACCTAGATACTGTTCTTAATTCCTGGGACCTAATTTCTTCTTCTGCTTGGTTTGCTGAAAATAGACCAGCGGTTGGCTCGTTCTTCACTCATATTTACTCTGGGATCGATTCCCAACTTTACTAATTTGCTTTGTGGTGATGTTTTTCCTTCTGTGTCTAGGAGGTAGACGAGGTGAAGCAGAACTACCAGAAGCTTCAGGACGAATTGGAGAAACAGCCCAAGGATGTCCTGCTCAGGCTGAAAAATCTTAGGGAGGAAGCCCAGAATCTCCTAGATAAGGCTAACAGCAGCAAAAGGAAGCTGGAAGGTAAGAATGCAAGAGGAGAGTTTCGGCTAAATCCCATGTATCTTCTCTGATTATACAAATATATCCAAACAATAAACATTGGTGGTGATGATGGATATTTACTGACCGGTGGTATGGGAACATTGTCCAGTACAAACTTATTTTGGATAGAGAGGACCATTGCTTTGAAATAGGGGTAGACACAGGTAGTCCACAACTTACAACCACAATTGAGCCCCAAATTTATGTTAAGTGAGAAGTTTGCTAAGTCAGTTTCTCCCCATTTTACGACTTTTCTTGCCACGTTCTTGCCACGTTTGTTAAGCGAATCACTGCAGCTGTTAAATGAATACCACGGTTGTTAAGTGAATCGTAACATCCCCATTGACTTTGCTTGTCAGAAGGTCACAAAGGGAGATTGCATCACCCTGGGACACTTCAACTGTCATAAATGTGAGTCAGTTGTCAAGTACATGGGGAATGCTACAACGAACGGTCGTAAGTGTGAAAAGCGGTCATAAGTCACTTTTTTCAGTGATGTTGTAACTTTAAACAGTCACCAAATGAACTATTATAAGTTGAGAATTACCAGTAATCCATCTACGTTAAGACACTAGCTATCTCTGGTTTACAATGTGCCCTTGCAGCAGTTCCAATTGCACCCTGATTCGGGTGACCCCGAGGGCAAAGATAAACCCCCAAGTGGCCTCAAGAGGTCTCAGAGAGAGTGTTAATGACCAGATGACTGCAAAGAAATACAATCCTTCCATCCCCTGCCTCCATCGTTCCACCACTCACAGTCCATTTTCAACTGTCAATACCTTCTGTCCTCCTGCCATCAGAACTGATGAAGCTCCTTGGCTGAGAAGCGAAACATTTTCTTCTTCTTCCACAAGGGAAAAAAAAAGAAGAAAAAAAAATCACCTTTCATAGTCCGGCATGCCATTACCCCAGGCTAAACAACTCACTGACCAATAACAGATGATTATAAATATCCTGATCATTTAGGGAGTTAGGGACCTCGTTAAGAATGCCATGTAAACATAACACAATAAGTTGCACGATGAAAATTGTCCTGTGTTTTTTTTAATGCAAAATGTAAAGAAGATACGATCTCAAGGGAACTCGGACTTGGAAAATGGTTTGCAGGTTACTTTAGCAGATGCTGGGGTATTTAAACTAATATTAGTGCAGCTATTCAAATCAAGGTAAAAAAATAAGTTCAGGCCATTATTATCACCAAAGTTCTGAGTTTTGAAATAACAGTATGATCAGAATCCATCATTACGATCATAATCCATCATTTCTCGGTTCATAATTGAACCGCTTTGGCATTTTGCTTCATACATCTCCTCACTCCCCTTCTTAAAAGGAAAAAAAGAACCCGTGCTATTTCAGGGCAGTGTATCCTAATCGGGGGCCTTTAGATGCGATGGAATGGTCTGAATCTTAGTGTAACTGAAGCTGCACCTTTGCCAAGCTGGATAGACATTCTGGGTGTGGCAGAATTATAAATCCTATGCTTCTGGGAGGCACCAGAGTAAAGAAAGTGTTCCATAGACTGCAATGTCTCAAATTTTAAAAATGTCTGGCTATTCTTTCAGAATTGGAGAAGCGCTTTGGGGACAATGAGAGAGAAATGACAAGCAAAACCGAAGAACTTCAGAAGCTGGAGGCCACTGCACTGGGATTACTGCAGAGTATCCAAGAGCAAGCCATTGCCTATGCTACCTGCTAAGGTCAAAGTTTCTGTGGACAACCCTTTGGGCTGACTTCCTGCCAGCTCTGGACACAACTATGGTATGGTGCTTTCTGACGATGTCAATAACTGGCTCTTAAGAGACAAGGCTTTGGCAGTAAATCCAGAGTCTTAATGTAACCCAGATCATTTCATCCTCAACTGACTATAGCACTTAAATCTACCCGGGATCAGACGTTAATAGGATGATTCCAATGTGAATATTTTGTAAGAACAATATGTCTAGTCTATGTTTTGACCTAGGATTCTGGAACATAGGCCAGTTTCTGATGGTATCAGCTGGAGAGATAGAATATTTCCCCTGTAGTCATAGAATGGGAACCAGTTTGGTGCAGTGGTTAAAGCACAAGGCTAGAAACCAAGAGATTATGAGTTTTAGTCTTGCCTAAGGCATGAACCAACTAGGTGACCTTGGGCCGGTCACTCACTCTCTGCCTAGAAAAGAGGCATGGGCAAACCACTTCTGCAATCTTGCCAAGAAAACAGCAGGGACTTGTCTAGCCAGTTGCCACCAGTCAACCATGATTTGGAGATAAATTGTTATCCTAGTCATGGAAATACTTCCTCCTTCAATACCCTCTTCCTATCATTCACAATGATATTTTCATTATAGTGTGGAAACCAGCATAATTTCTGTATCACCCAGGCTGCCAATATGAATGCTGTAAAAACTTAATTTAACTGACTGCCGTTCAAGATTACTGATCTTTCCTGGCACCTTTTTAATTATTGGTGTCCTTATTTTTTTTAATACAGTAAGGCACATATACACAAAAACAATAATTTTCTAAGAGATTTTCCTTTCCTGGTTCCCTCAACTCCCATAGTCATCAATTAGCAACTAGGACAGGGGTCTTCAAACTTAACAGCTTTAAGACTTGTGGACTTCCACTCCCAGAATTCCTCCTCCAGTCACGTTAGCTCAGGAATTCTGGGAGTGGAAGTCCACAAGTATTAAACTTGTCACATTTGAAGGTCCTTGAACTAGGTGTTGGTTACAGCAACACACATACAAACTCAAAATTAGGAGAATTTTCCTAATTTTGATGACTGTTAAGCAGTGAAACCCCTCCCGGAGTCATGGCAGCTCTATCACTGGTGGTTTTCAAACAAAGGCTGAACAACCATTTGTATGACATGATATAAAGATCTTCTAGTCCAGGGTTGGACTAGAACTCCATGATCATTTTCAATTTACTATTGTATTATTTTAAGTCCAACATCACTGGCTTGGAGAAGACTGCAGGCCCTGATACAATATTCATCTCCTATGAATATTTATTGAAGGTCTCCTTCGGTATGTCCCACTCCAGATGAGGAACTTCCACTAGTGAGTTAATGTCAGTAATGATTATTTTGGGTTACCAATTATAGCCATCAGCACACATTAATATTATTTTTTAAAAAAAATACAAGGTATGGAAAGTATGCTTCTTGAATTCTTTCCAACCCTGAGTGGCTTCATTCTGGGTCACCTGACCAGGATAAATGGGGGCTTAAGAATAGAGCACCTGGTAGCATTCTATTATGGGTCTCCCATAGGGATAACAAAATAACAGAGCTGGAAGGGACCTTGGAGATCTTCTAGTCCAACCCGCTGCTCAGGCAGGAAACTATATCATTTCAGACAAATGGTTATCATCCAGTCGCTTCTTAAAAACTTCCAGTGTTGGAGAATTCACAACTTCTGGAGGCAAGTTGTTCCACTGGCTAATTGTTCTAACTGTCAGGAAATTTCTCCTTAATTCTAGGTTGCTTCTCTCTTTGATTAGTTTCCACCCATTGCTTCTTGTCCTGCCCTCAGGTGCTTTGGAAAATAAATTGACCCCCTCTTTTTTGTGGCAGCCCCTGAGATATTGGAACACTGCTATCATGTTGTACCCAATTCCAGCAACCGTTCTTCATATGTTTTTTAGCTTCCAGTCCCGTAATGGGGACTGGGACGCATGTTTCTGAATTTTATTATTCTCCATCAGATCTATCCCATTTCCTAACTCCATTTTTCTTGTCTTTATTTCTCCCCCTGCACACACACCCTTCAAATATGATCCAGTTCGCAATCAGTTTTGCCGATAGAAAGACACACTCGGTAGATAGACTAATAGGCAGGCATAATCCTAAATCCCTTTAGGTAATTTCTTTCCAACATGCTGAGCTGGGAAGAATAAAAAAAGATTGAAATAGATTCAGACCCATTGTAATCTTAATAGCTTAGGATGAACTCCAGTTCTCTTATTGCCTCGTACAAGGAAAATGTAAGGAGAGAAGAGGGTTCCCCAAAGTCTGTTGATGAACCAACCAACATTGATTAAACGTTAGATGGAGATGGAGAATTGGACAACTTAGCAAATGATCAGTTAGAGATGATTTGTTGAGATGAGATAGGAAATTCCATTTTAACAGAAGCAGAACAATCAATTAATGGATGTTTTTACCTTATTTACATGTCTCCTCCCCTTCAGACCTATCCGGTACAATACAGCTGGCATTGAAGGTAATCCTAGATTTCAGGTCATTTTCTTTTCACATCCATCCATCATTCAGCTTGATTCCCACAGCCATTTTTTTACCTACTTGTCTAAGAGAAGACTGACTGTATTTCAAAACTATTTAGATAGATATTTAACCCAATATAGTATATCCCTCTTCCATTTAATGTTTTCCTGTTACAGATGTAATTATCTGGAGATAAAGAAATGCCTCACGACTCCTAATGGGTCAGTGGTGGGATTCAATTTTTTTTACTACCGGTTCTGTGGGCGTGGCTTGGTAGGTGTGGTATGGCTTAGTGGGTGTGGCAGGGGAAGGATATTGTAAAATCTCCATTCCCTCCTCACTTCAGGGGGAAGGTTACTGTAAAATCCCCATTCCCTCCCCACCCCACTACCCTGATTTCCAGCTCCATTCTCCTCTGCAGGGCAACAAAAGAAGACCCAGCCAATCAGCTGGGACTCAGGAGGTGGAGCATAGATGGGGGCCGGGCCAGTCAGAGGTGGCATTTGCCGGTTCTCTGAACTACTCAAAATTTCCGCTACCTGTTCTCCAGAACTGGTCAGAACCTGCTGAATACCTCTGCTACGTATTTTCCTAACTAATGGAACTAGACGTCTGTGTTCTGAATTCTTCCCTGTTTTATTGGCCCAATGGGCCATCTCTAATTCAGCCACAGGATGGAAAAAGGAGGGTGCCACCTCTACAAAGTGGAATTTTAAAATGTTCTTTCCTTGTAGTAATAAAGCCTTTGACCTTTCTGATTTTCTGGTGTATACTTATATATCCATGCCTCTTGATACCCTAATCTTATTTATGTTTCAAGGAATTCCAGTGAACCCTGAACTCTGAAACTGAAGCTAGATATTTCAGCTTTACCTTATCTACTTGCGATGGAAAGATCTTTGGGAATCCCCTTTTCTTTGCTGAGGCAATTTTTCCTGGCCTAGGCTTTTAATGAAGACTTCCCTATCCTAGTGTTTTTCAAACATATTGGACTCAAACCCCCATCATTCTCAGCCAACATGGGGAAAAAAATGTGCAGGGGTACATTAATAGCTGGGTGTCAGGTAAAAACCAAACCAGTGGTGGGATTCAAAAAATTTTTACCGGTTCTGTGGGCGTGGCTTGGTGGCCATGGCAGGGGAAGGATGTGTAAAATCTCCAGTCAGAGGTGGTATTTGCTGGTTCTCCGAACTACTCAAAATTTCTGCTACTGGTTCTCCAGAACTGGTCAGAACCTGCTGAATACCACCTCTGAACCAAACATATATCTTTTTCACACCAATATTAAATCTCTTTTATCACACCCACAGTATTAAGAGGAGGGATTAATAGCAGAAGCTAAACATGGTCTCAAAATAAAAGGAAAGAACAGTGCTTCACTTATTTCCAGATACAGGCAGGGTAGTCCTTGACTTACGACCACAATGGGAATCAGAATTTCCATTGCTAAGCAAAGCAGTAGCTAAGTGATTTTACAACATTTTTTGGCTCAGAGAAATGACTCCAGTTTCCCCCACTGATTGTGCTGCTCGGAAGTCATTTGGGAAGATTGCAAATGCTGATCACATGATCCTGGGATGTTGCCATCATTGTAAATACATGCCGGTTGCCAAGCACCCAAATTCTGATCATAGGACTATGGGAATGCTTGATGGTTATACAGTAAATACGAGGATCGGTTGTAAGTCGCTTTTTTCAATGGCTGTTGTAATTTTGAATGGTTATAAGTCAAGGCCCACCTGTAACAGAAAGAAAAAAACAATGCATTTTTGTGGTAGTTCCTCCCACGGCTGGCTTTTAATCTAGAAAGGAAGAAGAGATGTGCTATAATAAGTCTCTAATGCCACACAAAAGTCTACTGCTCCCCCAGTTAGGATGCAGTGATACTTTTCCACCTGTTTCTCAACAGGTTGGATAAATTTGGGGCAAATGAAATCTGTCATCTAACCTGCATGGCAATGGTTCGATTGTTCATACACATTCATCTGTGCTGATGCGTCGCTAAATTTTATCAATAAAAACTTGTTTTTGTAAAAAAACCAAAAAAACCCACAGCATGATAAACTACATTGTATAGGGATATATCCAGTATGTTGTTGCTTCAGTCTGTCACTGTATTATCATTAATTATTTCAATTTTACAGAGAGGGAGAGAGAGAGATGATTGATCAATTGATCGTTATTATTATCCAGCTAAGAAGTCCTGGCCAAAGTTCCAAAATATTCCTAGTTCACAAAATAGATAAGCAGCCTTTGTGTCATGTCACCCTGATTCCACCCCCACCCCCCCTCATATGTAGCTGTATCTGGAAACGACTTGCTGAAATTCAGAGAGCTTGGCAGACGAAGGGAAGCATCTACAGTACGTCTCCCGAAGCAACGCCTAAAGGCTTATTCCTAGATCGACACTAGAAACGAGCTACATTCTATGGCTGGAAATAAGACTGCCCTTTTAGAATGAATCAGCTGATTGAAGCAGGCAGGATAGGAGACCAGGGCAGGCCGCTGGATCTATTGGATGTGCAGTGCATGTTTTGACAAATAGCCTTTAGCTTTGGGTGGAGGAACTTTGTTTTGCTGTCAGCATCGTAGTAGGAACAACCAGCATTGGCAGAGCTTAGTAGATCTCTTTCATTTTGTACCCTTCAGAGGTGGTCCTTTTCCTGGAATCTCCGATTGCCAGTAGAAAGATCTCTCAAAGGATCCCACCTCACGAAAAAGCAGGGGGATCGGGGGGGGGGGGGGGGACACGCCTAACTTGCATGAGAGAATTCAGAACTATGCTCAGCTCTCCTTGCATGAAAAGGAGCAAGCTACGGAAAGCACATTCCAGCCCGTCTGGAAGACCAGCCCACTCTGTACATGAGAAAAGCTGGAGCCTGATCTCTCTCCTTAGCAGGGATGGGAGTCTGTCCACCCACTCCATGGAGGAGAGGGGAAATGGGTACTGTGTTTAGAAATAGGCAGACGTGACACTGGCAAGTCAACTAGTACAGATTATATACTAGCCAGCCCTCTGCTTGGGGAAGATAATTTAAAACCAGACTATTCACCTATAGAACTGCTGTAGAAGTTGGATTTTTGAGTCTAGAGCCATAGAAAGTGGAGCTAAACTGGAATGCAGACAATCCCTTCTCTTTTTGAAATGCCAGGACAACATAACCACGTAGTTGTGGATGAGTGTTGTTGTGCTTTATAACAAAGGGAGCAGATCAGCTCCGTGCACCGTGTTCTTCACTCACAGAGTCTGGAAGTGAAATTCAGGAATGGCAGAGCTAAATTCCTGAGAACATCCGAGGAGGTCAGCATAGAAAAAAGGGAAATTAGCCTGTCCCTCCTGCTTCCTCAGTGTTACTTTTCCTGTAGAAAAGTAATTTTAATTCCTAGACATTTCCAATTCACAGTTATAACCTTTGGAACTTACAGGCATGCTGTGTAGAGAATCAGAATATAATGTGTGGAATTGATGAAAAAGAAAAATACCCCCCCCCCACACACACACACATTTGCAGCCATGCATGATACAAGCATGTCCTTTTGTGACAGGAATCCATGATTTTATTCTCAACTCCTACTAGCCTGTGAGTGAGATATCCTTGGACAACGGAATGACGACCCAGTTATAGAGTGGAGATTTTCCAGTCCTTAAATTCAGTATCTTCTCCATGTAGTTATTTCTTTGTTCCTAATTATCCTTCCAAAGGATCCTTCCAATTTAATTTTTTAAGTATATATCCTGACTGTTCCTTGGCCAAACTCTCCAAGAATTGGAGATAAGAAAGATCAGAAAGATACTGGAGATTATAGCGTTTCAGGATAGGTTATGACCACAAAATAGATCTTGGTGTGTTCGGGTCTTTTCCCTTGTAAGATTGAGAGTATCTTGGCAACGTTTCGACGAGGTCCTATTCGCCATCTTCAGGCTATATAAAGATTGCATTTTAAACAATCTTAGATACTCCAGTCTTTTTTTAAAAAAGCAAAGATACATTCCTACACGTGTCAAAGAAAATTCTGTTGTTCATATAAGGATGTGTCCCCTGCTCTTGTAAGTCTGCACTTACCACTCTGCAATTATGTTTAAAACAATTTTAAAGTGCCATAAAACTCCATAAAATCACATTTAGAGGCTTCACTGTTAGTTGTCTGTCATAATAACAATACTCTGAGGAAGAGATTTTTAAATCTTCACTATGGAAACAAAATATGGGAACAGAAGAGAGAAATCCAGAAATATTTCATGAACATTCATACAGGTTGAGAACAGCCATATAAGACTGGTAAGAGCAACAGTTCTCAGTTATATAAATTGAATTGCTATATGGTTGCACCACGGCTAAAATTAATATCCATGTTCTGGGGCAGCATTAATCATTACGGACATTACACTGAGAAGTTTACGTTCATATCTAATTTGTAAACTTCCCAGAAATATCTGGCTGCTATTGAAAGCAAAATTACAGGCTTATCCAGACTCTTTCAATTATCCAGGAGAGTTGGTTGAATTTGTCTGTCCTACGAATTGGGGTCTCATTATTGTGTTGCTAAAAGAGCAGTTTCAGACAGCTTTCTTCTAAATATATACAGTATATCTAGCCCTCTTGGTCTATAAATTGTAACTGGAATTGCAGCTGATTTTCCATGCTCTCTAGGTTATTGTACCTTTTTTTTTTAATGTGGCTGTCTTACTGGTTTTATTCTCCATCAGGGATATGGGCATGGGGGCTATAAATGAGGGGGGGGGGAAAGAGCCTGACTATGGATAACCCGCAACAACTGGACCAGAATTTCCATTGCTAAGCATGGCAGTTGTTATATGAGCCACACCTGATTTTATGACCTGATTTGTGAAAATATCAGTTGTCATAAAGATCTCTTTGGTGTAAAACAGCCACCTCTTACTGGTTTAAATCTCAGCTGTTGCCACCCACAAAATCAGGGGTGGGATCCCACCGGTGTAACTACCAGTTTGGTGATTTACAATTTGCTGCGTGCGCATGTGAATCATCGTCAGCTTGCTACCTGGACAGCTGAGCAATGCTGCGTGCGGGTGCGCAGCGGTTGAAACAGCACTTTTTTCCTGTTTTTCAACCGCAGCTGTGTTGCGCAAAGCAGCTGAGGTTGAAAAAGCAAAGGTCAGGTAAGACCGTAAGAGCCCAGGTGGGCAAAAACATCAGCTGACATAGAGCCGGTTCTATGTCTGCTGCTCTTCAGAGCTACCGGTTCTACAGAGCCAGACAGAACCGGTAGAATCCCACCCCTGCACAAAATGCCATAAAAATTCTAACTGTATAATGTTCCTTCAAATCAGAAATGGCACCCTTCTA